ATAAACTCCCACCCAAAATACACGCTCCGCCTCATCTGCACTCCCCAGTCATGATGGCCCTCCCTTTTAGCTTCGCTCAGTCCAGGCCTTGACTTTCTATACGCCATCACACATCGGCGAGCACGTCTCCCCACATTGGCGCCAAGCTATTTCATGGAGACTCCTGTGTACTAATCACTGGATGTGCTTCAGCTTCCTGTGACCTGTGTTCCTGCGTTCCTGTGTTCCGGTTTGTACTTACTTATCTTCCGCTGCTGACCCGGCTTGCTCCTGACTTTGCTCTGTGGATTCTGGATTCTGACCTCCGCTTGCCTTAGACTACTCTCTGCCTGATCTCCTGGTGCTGACCTCAGCTTGCTAGTGGACCCTGCTTGCTAACCTTGTACCGACCCCAGCCTGCCTCCTGACCACGCTGCTGTCTCACTTTGTGTGACCATGGCTCACCTTGACTACATCCCTGACCGTGGCAGTCACATGCTATCAAGCTATCGGCACCCATGCTTCTTTGAGCCTTGTACCTCTGTCACCAAATTCGGGGTGCTCAGACCATCATCCAAGGTCCGTGATACATTCATAACCCATTGGTTAACTCTCCTACTATATTTCTGGAAGTTTTTTCCAGAGGTAGGAAGGAGCAATCAACCACCAGGTTTAGGGATAGACCTGACCAGACCGAAAAATAAATTGCTGCTCAGCACAGAGAACAGCAGATCAAAAAATGTAATTTATAAAGCCTAAGGCAAGGTGCTACACATGTTAATAGATTCTTCATGCCAATCCCAAGCCTGTCAAAAAGGGAGGGTTGAGGAAAGACCTGGAGAACTACTTCATCAAAAAACTTGCCAAGAAAATTCCATGGAAAATTCTCTCAAGCATATCATGCATGATTCCCAGAGAGCTGGCTGAAAGCTGGGCATGACTGAACACACACGCCATTGTTGATGCACAACACCAATCTCTCCATAGCTTTGTATGGCAGAATTTAAATGTTGACCTTTAGTCAAGAAGCTAAAGACATGAATGGAAACTGTTTCACTTGCAAAATGGTTTGTAATCAATTTACGCTAACCACGTGTTTGAGGTTCCCCTGCCAGACAGCATAGCCAAAGCCCTGACTCACAACTGCAACGATGTCATCACAGCTTGGTAATGCTTCAAATAAAATTCCAGTCTAACACTGGAATTCTACTTTCAGCTTGCTCATTGGGCAAATAGAGGAGCACCTTATTAGACCACAGATGAATAGATCCCTGTGCTTACTCTTCCTTTTTTCTGTGAGCACTTGTGCACTACAGTGGAATCCAATTGGCTCTAGGTGTGGCCCTACTTATTTCAATCTAAGTACTGCTCTCAAGTGATTGATTCTTTAAAAAACAAATAAATAAAAAACACAGTAAGTTTAGATGGATGGATTTGGGTCCTGATTTTTAACCTCCCGTTTGCTTGACATCATATGATGTCCTTGAGTTGAATTGGTTATATCAGGATGATGCCTGCAGCTGCAGGCATCACCCCCATATCAGCATTTTCAGGAGACAATTCACTTTTATGAAGAAGTGATTTGAGTGGCTATATATTCACTTGATCACATACCCCCAGCCACTGACACCTTTACTGGGGTCTACTGTGTAATCGGGGAGCCCAGTATTGATGCTTTGCTTGCATTCCCTAGGAAGAGTGGAAGGAACAATAGTTTCAGCTCTTCTTCCATGATGTAAAAAACTAGAAGCGACAAGGATTTCATCACTTGCGGTTTCATTTTTTTTTGTTTGTATCAGCTTTACATCATCTGATGAAACCGATCTTGGTTTGATCAGATGCTTTGCAGGCCGGAGGAAAGATCTGGGGACTAATAGACCCCAGTCAGATCTCTCCATAAAGAGGACGTGTCACAGCCCATGCTATCACAAGGGATGTTGTTCATCCCTTGTGATAGCAATAAAGTTGATTAAAAAAAATAAAGGTACAGTCTAGCGCCAGATCTCCTGTGTAATTCTAAACTGGTAATCTGTAAAGATTTTAAATTGTTGCCTATGGAGATTTTTTGGCCGTATAGCTTTGTGCCGTTCCACGGGCATGTGCAGTTTTAAAGCATGATGTTAGGTATCCATTTACTCGGCATGACATCATCTTTTATATTTTACAAACAATTGGATATTATATTGTGTTTGTATTCACTAAAACTCATTGAAGTGTATTTGTTCCAAAAACTTTACTTTTGAAAAACCACTGTGCAAATACCATGTGACATAAAAAATTGCAACACCCACCATTTTATTCTCTAGGGCCTCTGCTTGGTAACCGCGATATAGCGAATGACGGCTACAGCGCAGTTACCCAGTTCTGGGAGGGTGTCATATGACGTCCTCCCAAAACGATCCCTCGTGCGTGCCCCCATGGGCACGCACCCGGCGATCTCCATGATTGCTGTGTTCTATGGACACAGCTGATCAGGTGATGAGGTAAAAGGCCAATCACAGTGGCCTTTTACCACATGATCAGCTATGTCCAATGACAGCAGATCACGGAGTAAATACAGTTGCTGGTTATTGGTAGCACTTTCCTCATGCTGTCATAGCGTGAAGAAAGTACTGTCGATAACCGGCAGCTGTCACAGAGGAGATCGGCACTGATCATTAGTGCCCTGCAGTGCTGCCCAGCAGTGCTACCCACCAGTGCCCAGCAGTGCCTCCCATCAGTGCTCAGCACTGACACCCACCAGTGCCCAGCAGTGCCCCCCAGCAGTGCCTCCTGTCAGTGCCCAGCAGTGCCACCCATCAGTGCCCCCAGCAGTGCCGACCATCAGTGCCACCTATTAGTGCCAAGCTGTGCCTCCAGTCAGTGCTATTAGTCAGTGCCGCCAGTCAGGGCTGCCATTCAGTGCCATATATCAGAGCTGACCATCAGTGCCACCTATCAGTGCCCATCAGTGCCGCCTATCAGTGCAGCATCACCAGTGTCTCCTCATCAATGACCACCAGTGCCGCTTCATCAGTGCCACCTCATCAGTGCAGCCTATCAGTGCCCATCAGTGCTGGCTATCTGTGCCACCTCATCAGTGCTGCCTATCATTGCCCATCTGTGCTGCCTATCAATACAGCCTCATCAATGCACATCAGTGAAGGAGAAAAATTACCTGTTTGCAAAATTTTATAATAGAAAAACAAAGAAACTTTTTTTTAAAAAAAAATTTTTTTGTTTTTTTGTTTATAGTGCAAAAAATAAAACACCCAGTGGCGATTAAATACCACCAAAAGAAAATGATAAAAATTTCATATGGGTACAATGTTGCATGACTGCGCAAATGTCATTCAAAGTGCGACAGCACTGAAAGCTGAAAATTGGCCTGGGCACGAAGGGGGTATAAGTGCCCGGTAGGCAAGTGGTTAAAAGATATATAATGTTCACAGGTCCTAAGTAATTTTTTAGCAAAAAATAATAATTTTCACATGTAGGAGAGAAATGTCAGAATTGACCTGGGTGGCAATGGTTAATTTTAGGATGCCGAACAAATGATACACATTAAGGCAGGCCATACCTGGGTCGAACTTCAAACGCTTTTTCGATCGCAAATTGGACCTAAGAATAATCGGACAATTTTCGTCTGTTAGTGGGGCAATGGCACCAGCTGATTTTCGTGGTTGCTCCCCATTTCGTTTATTGGGCATGCTGGAAAATTCATGAAAAACGACCGATTTTCAAAATCATTGGTGCCACCATCGGATTACAGAACAAATTATGTTTTCGATTTTCGAACGAAAAATCGTTCAACTTCGACCCATGTATGGCCTGCTTTAGTCATCTGAAAATTGAGCATACAAAGGGTGTTTGTTATTGTTGCAGTCAAAACCATTTCTCTCTGTATATTGAGTGACATATCTTGAAAAGAATAAATGTCATAAATTAAAATTTGTTATTGGAAGTGCTTTGCCCAGGCACATTCTCTTCAGAGTTTCGGCAATTTCCCTGCAGGAGTCTCAGAAGCTACTAGAGGAGTAAATAGCGCACTGAAAAATAATGCTTTCTCGTATCGCAGAAAACAGCATGCGCAAGCTTCCTTTTACCGCGTTATGCCTTCTGTTAATAAAGCCATGGATTAATCTGTATACATGTCAAATATTCTCTACGGATCCTCCAACTGCCTATTGCAGTAACAAAAGCTGGTGAAAATCATAAGGATATCAATTTCAATATGTTACAGTTATACTGGATCATACTCAGTGGGGCTGGCCTTTAATGGACTTTAAAAATGTCACATTTGCACAAGAATGAAATGGCTTTCCATGCTGAGGTACTGTATGTAGCCTTCTCTGATGTCAGGCCCCAAAATTTGGAACCTGGCTGTATTACTGTTGAAGGGCCCCGGCTTTCAGAGGTGTGTTGGCTAAGGCATCAGCCCTGCAAAGCTTTATATTTCTGTCATTGTTAACCATGTTTTATACAGCGGCCGGGCGAGCCGCGGCTCCTGGAATGACAGGTTTCTTAAGACTCTTTCCTGAGCCTTGTGTCTGTGGCCTGAGAGCTGTCACATCATGTTAGGCCTCTGAGCTCTGTATAGGACAGAATGTTACAGCCAATCACATAGTGTGTCACACATGAATATTTTATCAAGGCAAATCACTGAGTAGAGCGGACGGCAATTGAGAGGACAGCAATACAGTGAGATGGGGACTCCAGGGAGAGGGGTGAGGGAGCAAGTTATTCATAGCAGACAGAGATGGAGAGAACGGGGAGATCACCTGCAGGTTAGCTAAGACAGATTTAGCTGACTCTCGCCAGCACCTCGGCTCAAATGCTTGAAGTACATCAGGGATTGTGTAAATCTTCTGCTGAGCTTCTGAGATTATATAAGCAAGGTTTATAAATGTCTTCCTTGCTATTAGACAAATGAGAGGTTGGTTGCTGTCCTGACTATGGAGAATTTGATAAACAATTACTATTGATATTGCTAACTTCTTTTGTTTTCAGTTATTCTTTGCTGCTTGGAAATTGATGCACATCATATACCAGGGCTTGAAATTTCCACTCGCCTGCTCGCCAATGGCAAGTGGAACTTATGGTGGGGTCGAATGTGTCCCCCAGGGCCGTCTTGCTGAGCAGGCTCGGAGCTCAGGCTGGATCTGTCATTGGCACTGGGAGCCGTCAGACTGCTCAATAGCTGAGGCAGTGAAAGCAAAGGAAGGAGTGTGTGCTGTGCTCTCTGCCTCCCCTAGAGTGCAGTACCTGGATCTGTGAGTGAACAACAAAGTACTGCAACTTTTTATGGGGGGGGGGGGTGTACATGTACATGTGTGTTGTTTGTGTGTGTCTGTGTATGCATGTACAATTGTACATGCGTCTGTGTGTATGTACATGCGTGTATCTGTACATGTGTCTGCGTGCATGTACATGTATGTGTGTGTGTACATGTGTCTGTGTGTGTGTATGTACATGTGTGTGTGTGTATGTACATGTGTGTGTGTGTGTGTGTGTGTATGTATGTACATGTGTCTGTGTGTACATGTGTCTGTGCGTGTGTATTTCTGTGTATGTACATGTATCTGTGTGTATGCATGTCTGTACGTGCATGTGTGTGTATATATTTGTCTGTATGTGTGTGTGTGTACAAATGTCTCTGTACGTGTGTGTACATGTTTCTGTGTGTGTATGTACATGTCTGTGTGTGTGTACAGGTGTCTCTGTTTGTGTGTGTTTGTTGGTGGCGAGTAACTCTAAGGTCTGACTAGTACCTCAGGACTTGAAATTTTAAGCCCGTGACATATACCATGGGCTCTGAAATGCCAAAGTACCAACAGTCACTTTTTTTAGTAGCAGATGCCAATGCTGGGACTGCGGTGCTGGTATTTTTATGTGCAGGAAGGGTTACTCTGCAGCAGCCATTCTTAACCTTCTTAACAGTGAGGAACCCTTGAAATAACTTTTGGCTCAGAGAACCCCAGCTAATAACTACTATTTGTACAGATCATGGTACATTAGTGTGATGATCCCTGGGAAGAATGGTCCTTACATTTGTGGTTATTGGGAAGAATTCTACCCTTACAGAGATCTAAAAGATCACTGGTGTCATAAAATATTGATGCATTGGTACAGGACCCCTGTAGTGCTTCATGCGATCAACCCGAATCTGTCTGATAAGTCCTGGAGGTGCATGGGAGGAGAAAACACCTTGGCGCACATTTTTTGGTTCTGGACTACGGTTAAAAAGGTCTTGCAGCAAGTACTCAATGTTAACCTTCCCCTAGACCCGCTACATTATCTTTTGGGGCTACCCTTTAGGGGTATTTCTAAGCAATCTAAGAGGTTGGGAATACATATTCTGACGGCTGCTAGACGGGTGATACCACGACCCTGGAGATCAGTCGATGCCCCCACACTAACTCATCTTTTAAGAGCAATCTCTGAAATTAGAGAAATGGAATATCTTACAGCCCTAGTGGGTGACTATTCAGGTAATTTTCGATCTATTTGGGAACCATGGGACTACTCTCCCTTTGGTAGACTTCCTTCCTCTCCCCCTCTTCCCCCCTTATATAGCTCAGATACCTATTTACTTTACCAAACCGTTGACAATTACTGTAACCTAACAATGTACAGGTTTATGTTGTCTTGTGTTTTTGTAATGTACAGTTTACCATGCTGTCTAAATATGTTTATTTCTTTTGTTTCTTTTGTTTTTGTTCCCTTTTATAATGTTTATGGATTTCTTTCACTGCAACATTCACATCTAAAGTGTTGTTGTAACCTTGTTCTGAAAAAAATGGGCTTTGGCCTTCAATAAAAATTTACAATACTAATAATAATAAAAAAAAAAGATCACTGGTGTCAGTGGTTCCTCATCCAAGAAGCAGAAGTTGCCCATTGCTCAAGGAACCCCTAGCAACCTCTGAAGGAACCCTGGTTGAGAAAGGCTGGTCTGCATTGTCATGGATCCTTGAGCAGGTGAGGAGAGTGTGCGCAGAGTACAGTGTGGTGTTACGGTGGGGACAAATGACACAGAGACCAACAGTCGTGCAAAAGTTTATTAACGTCAAGTTCCAGCAAACAGAAACAGGATCTACTATACACAAATACAACTGTTCGGCTCCACTTACGGAGAACTGTTGGAGACGTCTTAGATAATATTGGATGATGCCAACAACGTCTGCAGAGAGGAGTAAGAATGTGGCCTGGCCAGTCCACATCCAAGAGGGAGATGTAGTCCCTAGGAGTGAGTAGGCATAGTCCCTCCACTATCCCTACTTCTCCGGAACCTCTACCTAGCACAAAGCATTCTTCCTGACAGATGAGGAACCTGTCCATGCACTAGCCACTTTGCAAAAATGCGCACCAACTCAGGAAGTCAGTGTCTTAAATAAACACTGCCCTCACTAAAGATGGCCACGGAGGGCAGCAGCATCCAATCAGCTACTCTACCGATGATGGCAGGAAGTTGCAGAAGGATCCCCTTCTGTATTGACACTGTGATCCATCATCACCTACAGATGGGAGGACAGACTGAACCTGCCTATAAGTGTATAAAAGCAAAGGGTGAGATTTATAGGAATAAATTCTATGTTTATTTCAGGTAGGCTGCGGATCAGCTAGCACCACATCCCATATTGTGAATATCCAGCATTATATGAGAAAAAAAGGGACTTTTTAGGTGCTCAACAAATTTTACACTTAACCACTTGCCCTCCAGAGGATTTACCCCCCTTTCCTGACCAGGCCATTTTTTTGCGTTACGGCGCTGCGTCACTTTAACTGACAATTGCGCGGTCATGCAATGCTGCACCCAAATTAAATTTATGTCCTTTTTTTCCCACAAATTGAGCTTTCGTTCGGTGGTATTTGATCACCTGTTCACAGCCATCCACAGCAGTGTGCCCGAGCTGATAGGGAGGAGGACTGTTAGTAAATAAAACAGTCCTCCTCCCTGTAGGAGATCCTCGGAAACACAGGGTGCACGCGGGTAATTACCGTCCGGGACCCGGTGATTGACAGCTGTGAAAGCAAAATCGCGTATATATACATGATTTTGTGCAGCGCTTCTGCCCTGTAGCAGTATTTCTGCTATAGGACGGTCAGCAAGTGGTTAATATGTACTAAAATCAATATAAAGCTTTACTCTGTATTAACATAGAAAAAAACTACATCACGGAACAACATAATACTTCATATGGCTTGAAGTTCACAATTCAACAATTCCAACTCAGGGGCTGACTGAACATTTGGAAACTCGGCACTGCCCGAGGGCCCAGAGTAAGTAGGGGGCCCCATGAGATGCCCCTGGTACCTTTTTCATAGGCTTTTTTGAGTTTGGGCAAGGACACAGGGGCCCCATGATCCCCTATTGCCCGGGGGCCCCATGAGTTCTCAGTCCGCCCCTGTTTCAACTCGATATGTTTTGCCAAATTTCTGGCTTCTTCAGGAATTTTACAGGTAGTTTAATGTAGTTACCACTAGAAAACTAAAATACAAACAATAAACAATTTTAACTTCACAGAACTGCAAAAAGTAATAACAGAATCATCCATACAATACATACAAAATAGTCTGTGCTAACATTAGAGGCGTTAAGGTTAAAAGAAGGATTACAGTCAGGGATACAGTTAAGGTTCTGGGAATGTTCCAAATTTTGACATACGGCTGTGTCGGTGCAGCTGCTGCATTTGCATTCAGTTAAACAGGCTGCCTGCACACAGCTCTGGGCAGATGCAGATGCAAAAATAAATGCCTCATTCACACAGCACTCGTGTGATTAAGGACTTAGAGTTGCAAGGAGGGTTAGTGTTAGGGTAATAGATACAGGAATTAAGGCTACAGGGAGAAATAGTGTGGGATTCCAAGATATGTGAGTGTTAGGGTTACACAAAGGGTGTGTGGCTGAGTGTTAGAGTTACAGTGAGTGTTAGAGTTGTGGTTCAAGAAAGTGTGAGTGCGATGTCAGTTGTAGGTTATCGGGAAGGTTGAAGTTACAGGGAAGTTTAGTGTAAGGTGGTCCTTAAAGGATAAGTTCATCTTTGGAACATGTTACATGTTCCACCTGTTTTTAGGGTGGAACATATACCATGTTCCCATAGCTGCAGCCATGCCCGCTGCCATGGGGAAGTTTTCCCGTACTATCTGTCCGATTTGAAAACAGCGCGGCTGCCCGGGGCTCCGCCCACACCGCATCACTCATTCACAGTGTTCTGTGAATGAGTGCCTACAAGTCACGGCAGCCTTAGCGGCTGTAGGCTTGTAGTTTTCAATGAACTACCACGGCGATGTGGAGCTCCATGATAGTTCATTGAAGCTTCTTGTCAGAATATCTGCTTGACCGTACATCCCGTACGGCAAGCAGATATTCTGACAGGTTTGAAGGAGACCTGCATTGCATCAGCAATCTACTTATCTCTGGTGCAAGGCTTTCCAGGCTCCTTTGGATAAAAATAATAAATGCACATTTTTTTATCTGCAAATAAATGTGCATTTACCAAAAGGTGAACTTATCCTTTAAAGTATGGTACCGCTATGCATTTTTTTACAGGGCATTGTCGCACGATTTTGTGTGTCGCATAGGACAGCACCATGTGTTTGGGATAATGGCACCCAAACATGTTGTGCATTGTGCAGCAATCGGCACACACTTTGGGATTGTGGGCAGAATTGCAGCAATCGCCAATAACAATATGTGAATTGGCCTCAAAGTTCATTTTTCCCACTACACAATGTAATAAAACAACAGCATTACTTTCAGTAAAAATAAACAAAACAAATCAGCCCAATATGTTTTGTAATATATTTTATAGTGTACAGACAAAATATAATACACATGCCTAACCTGACTACTGCCCCTGGTCATAATAAGCCTATTTCTATGCCCTTAAAATTAACCTGTAGGTAGGTTGCCCATAGTTTGTTAGGTAGACAGTGGCTGGCCCAGGTTGGGAAAGGGGTTAATGGCTGTTGTCTCTGATCCCAGGCTTTTTTTGGGCCAAGCCTACCCGCCCTGTGGATTATCTATCTATCTATCTATCTATCTATCTATCTATGAAAAGGCTGGGTCTGGGGCTCACTTGGTTTTCAACTCAAGAATAGTATGCCGTGAAGTCTGCTGGAGGACATTGGAACACTGGAGAATCACCAAGGCATGGGAAATGCCAGACATGGACCTATACTTTGTGAGGCCTGGGTTGCCTAACTGAGATAGATAGGGAACATTATGTTATACTGTTGTAGCATTACCCCCTTACGTGTTTCTGATGAATTGGGTCCTCCTATAGTCGTACACAGCCAGACAATCTACATTCTCCACACAAGCTTGCTTTGAGATTCAGTAATCAGTCCTTGAGCTTTTGTTTTGTTGTTTATTGAAGGGATTTAGAACCAGGGTGGGGTAAGGGGTATAGGATGCCCAAGGGAACCGATAACTGAGGACAAACGTCCTGGAACTATTTACAAGCTTCACTTCTGCAACACAGTCTCTGTTGAAGAGCTAGCCAATGTCTCCTTGTTGTTCCACCTCAGACCACAGATGA